GTTAACTTATCTTCTGATAAATACACAATACTGTCCATTTCCTCATTACTAACCAATTCCAATTATTTTACCCTAGTATTATTTTCTGTATGTGCATTGTTTTTTTCTTCAAATGTATTCTTCCTTAATGTTCTACCTATTATTTTTAAGGCTATGTTACTAAATTCGTATGAACATCTGTGGCCAAATTCACATTCCCATCAGGATCAGCCACAATCATGTTAAATAAATATTGGTTATTAGCGTTTGATTAATGTGTTTGGTACAGTCCTGCAATCATCGAAGTACTTTAACAGTTTTACAGTAACATCTGAGATTGTTTCTCAAACAGAAGTAATACTGAAAGTGAGAATAGGTTTGGAGATGTTAGTTAATACAGTATATTGTGACTATATTAGCTCAGATTTTGTTCAATACTTCATTCTAAACTCACTATTAAACACTATTCCAACAGACCAGTCTTTATATTGGTAAATGTGCTTGCACATGTTATAACTAACATCTTAACGCCAAGATCGGAAAAATACACATCCTCGGTTTCACTGTAAGCCACTATCCAACTCTACCTCATATCAAGTTCATAACATTCCTTAAACAAAATCCAGGAATAAAGACTAACCAAAAATGAATCTTTTCTAGACACCAGTTAATTCAATACAATGTGATTTTATAAGGTCAATAATTAAAGTACTACTTCCTGTACTTTTTATAAGAACGTAGTTTTCAATATCTCTACCTTAAGTACACTGAATTTTTTGTTTTTGAGTTGCTACTAATCATTTTTGGAAAGTACGTATCATAATGTAATATCGCATGACTACAGTTGTACTTTATCTTACGGAGATTTTTTATCCCAAACCCGATTAGCTGGATGTACCTGCATTCAAGAGTTGATGTTCACCTAAAGAGAACGAAATACACGTCCTGGATTCCACTGCTAACCACTATCCATCTTCGTTTATAATGCTTGTAACTAAAGGCAATATCGAGGCAATCGGTACAGGATGCACATATGCCAATATAAACCTGATCAATTGCAGTACTTAAGTGTTGGGAAGTGTTATATCCTAGTGAAGATTACATCACGAGTAACGTCTGAGACCTATTAATGGACTAATATTATTTATATGTTCTTACGGTATAAATATTCAGTAACTAGATTATGTATATCTATATTCCCCTTGTTATAGGCTTCACTTTGACCTATATAAGATTACTGCACGATTTACTGTTCTTAAGCTATGTTCAGTTTATTGACTACTGCCTCCCACGTTCACAGCCACTTTTTGGCTTTATTGTGTATGAATGTTATTTCCCATTTTATGCTGCGTTGCGGTGTTTGTTTGGTATATAAACCCAGTATGTTTGAAATAAATGATTCGCATAGTGGAGGCTGTTATTGGCATTCTGGACTCAGCTGGACGGGCTAGGCGAGCAACGGACCAATAGGACGCTAAGCTGATCAGACCGGTCGAACGTCATTGGTTTAGTACAGTATGAGAACGAATGTCGTATTTTGATTGGCGAATAGATTACGTGATAACAAGCGGCTCATAAAGTCACAACAGAAAGATTCAAACAAACAATACAAAATGAACCAGCATTCATGTTCATTCATTGTCATATTGTTATAAATATACGTTGATCGATAGCTCGGGAGAGCAATTCGGTCAATCAAAATCTTGGTCATTATTTATCTACTCTATCTTACACTAATCGCTAATTGTCGACCGGTAAGCTTAATGTTAAGTTTAGCCTGAAACAACTCTAACTCCATTTGGTCCAGGAAGTATGCCTTACTTCTTTTCCTGGTCTTGATTGCGAATGATACAAGACAGCAGCAAAGCTTCTACTACTATATTTCCAGCACACGATATATCACAAACACTCATTAATTTATGTACATGAACAGAACGCAAAGCATACCAAACATGAAATCGTACTTTGCACACAATCAGGAATCTTTTCCGCCACTAAATTCATTATTTATTTTTGTTGTTTTCTCATCTAACTTTTCTGCATTCATCTTCCGTCTTCTAACTTTAATCGCCATGATTACGACAATATTTCACATTGTTTAAAATAAACACAATGACAAATTGATATACAAGGCTTGTAACAATGGGTTGTTCATGAATCATGTTATATTAAATAAATGTACCGAGTATCTACTTTCGTCAGTGTACTATTTGTATTTACCAAAAACGTTTTCTGTAAACTACATGATACATATTTTTAGACTAATTAATAATTCAAAACTATTGTATGTGGTTTAACTGATTACAGGATAAAATACATAACAGATCTTAAGACTGGAACACAATTTCAAGCATAGTTAATAACTACTACATCAATGAAAATTTTAATACAAGTGGTAAACTCAGTACATATGGTCACATGAATGCCTACGTTGAATGCTGGAGGACAGAAACTACCATTACATGCAACATGAAATAAACCAATTTATTCATCAATCTAAATCAGGTATTTAATTCGGATATGTTTAACATTTGCTCGAAGATTGACTAATTCCAGTATAGCAATCTTGCGTAAAGATATGAGAAGTAGGATGTAGGTTATCATTCTTACAAAAAACATTTAGTATTCCGACACAATTATAAAAACATAGAATTCCGGGTTTTATTAGAGCCACTGTGCTGAAGTCGTCGTAATTAAAGAAGTAGTATGATGTAGTCTGATTATTTCTCCGAGAAGTAAATCCCACAAATAGCCAGAAGCACACAACTCAAGAGTATATATACAGAATAAAAATTTCTTTGAGAAACGTCACAAAACAGCATACTAAATGAGGCAACCAGCCGATGACATTCAGGGTCCTTCCAAGTTGGAAATACAATGTGAAGGTAAAAATGGGAGAAATTCAAATTTATAGCATAAAATTGCAAAAACAAGGCGTACACCAAGTCAGTTGTAAGGATCCTCAACAATGACTTTCAGTAATTAATGTTGGATGAATCAGCTTTGTGATAGACCGTTAAGTTTTATGATGACAAAATCGTTTCCGTGACCCTATTGAGTTTACCATCGTTATAATGTGAGTGTAATAAGATCCCTCATTTGTAATAGGACTCTTACAATTTATTTACTCCACTTGCCAAGTAGGCTACTACATATTATCCTTTAACAACGTCCCCTAATTATTATGATCTTATATATATATTTATATTTCTTCTTCAGATCAGTCAAGTGAACATTATCGCTTTGACTTCTGATCGGTAAGTTACCCTCATTTCTCCATCCTCTTCTGACCCCTTGGTCAAGAAGCAAGCTCCTTGTTATTTGAAATCCCGGATCACTTTATGGTGTAATCTTTTCTATTCTAGTATAATTTTATTTTGGGTACCATTTCTTTCAAAGGAAGTTAAATTTACACTGCTACCTACTCCTTTAAATCTCTGAAATAAAAATTCACTTGCCTAACATCGCGTAGCACATCAAGGACGGTATCTGAATAGGCATTTGATCTATACCATTACTTATTTAATGGAATGAATTTTAATATATGAAATTTGAATGCACTGATAATATATGATTATGTGTTAATGGGGATTGTAATTGATACAATAGTGGTGTAACCGACATCTCTAATAGCCAAAATGTCTGAACGCTTGATTTGAGGCGATGAAGTTAACATGATGAATCCTACCACATTATATTTAGTGATAATAGTAAATCGGTAGTTTTCTCAACTTTCTACAACAGAAACTTACTAATCTGTATCTAATCTGTCGTACCAATCTTTTGGTTTTTAAAAAAAGATTACATGTGGCAGTAAAACATATCAGATCCTCAAAAGATACTTTTTAAACTCTGTAAAGTAGAAATACAACATTTTCCTCTCAGAACAGTTATCGTCTCATGAGTTACGATAAAAGGAATGGAACTGAACCATAATGAAAACATGAGGCGATTCTAAGAGTGGAGTTTAGATTAGTAAGTCAAACATACGATGAAACTTTGTAAACGAAACGGATATTTCGAAAAAAAAACTAGACGGAGAGTTTTGAAATACTAACATTGTAACTCTGTTGTTATGGACGTAACGCACCTAACCCTAAACATTCTAAACCTAAAACTCTTGGCATTCCTCTAACCAAAATACTCCTAAAACCATATCTTCAAATTCCGTGCCTTTTCCGTATGTTATTTCCTGATCACAGCCACACAAGATTAATAGTCCAGTATTCTGTAGATGTTATAAAGTTACATGATCAACCAACCTAACGAAATGCGAAATCTCACCCAAAAACATGATTGTCTTAAAACTCGCGCTTAAATTCAACAATCGCCGTCTTCGTTCTGATTGATTAATCTCATTCGTTTTAAAGCTGTCAGCATCGTTTATTTCTACCACATATAAAAAGATATATATATACTATTCAACGAGTATACAAAACAATGCCAGAAAATAAATCCACCACTCATAAAACGTTAATAAACACAAATGGAATGAATAATCCTTGTTCTGTTTTGCTTTATAAGTTAACAAAAAAAGAGGATTTCTATCTGCATATTTACTGAATATCAATGCTAACATTGTCAGTGACCTCAGGATGATGTATTGGGCACAGAAGTAGCGTGTACAGTAGTTTTTGTACTGTTAGTAAAATTAACACTTGAGTTTTGATTTGATTGTTGATTTTGAGACTGTTGTTGTCGTTGTAATTTATTTCCCAATTTGGATACTGCTGGTCCAATAGTTAACCGACATAAAATAATCCAACATATCACTAAAATTTTTACAGGTATATATGATATTACTTGACAGATAAAAATAGTAATATCTTTCATTGAATGATTATTTATCATGAGAGATTGTAGTGTTACCGGTGAAATTGTCTCAATTGGTGAATATGAAATAAGATAAGCCATAAATATTGCTTCGATTGCATATAATCCAACGTAGATACCGACTTGACGAACCATCTGACCCCCCCCCCCAAAAAAAGAAATTGTTTTAGAAAGAGAAATATATACATACATAGATGTTTAAATGAAAAGAGAATAAAAAAATATGGACGTAAAATTATCACATACACCAATTAAAGTATAGTAGTACAGGGACGAGAGATTAAAGAATTCGCGAAGAATTCTCAGCTAGTTTCTAGTCAAACAGAAAATAGCTTATATAAATGGATAGTTAACGGGAAGTGAAGCAATGATACTGCAAAGTGTAAACAGATTTTGCATAATTAATAAATCTATTAATGTCTTCTACAAGTTACTTGGCCTGTTAATCGAAAAAACTCGTATATACTAGTGAAGATTAAATTACGGGTAACTTCTGTGAACTATTAATGGACTAATATTGTATATATATTGTTATTGTATAACTAATAAGTAACTAGATTGTGTATATCTAAATTTTGACCTACAGACTATTATGATACGATCTACTATTCTTAAGTTATACTCAGTTTATTAATTAAAATCTCCCATATTCACAGCCACTTTTTGGTTAAATTTTGTACAAACGTTATTTCCTATTTTATGGTGTGATGTGGTCTGTTTGGCTGCTACATAAACTAAGTATGTTACAAATAAATGATCCACATAGTGGAAGCTGTTATTGGCATTCTGGACTGAACTGGAAGAGCTAGGAGAACAAAGGACTAATAAGGACGCTAGGCTGCTCATACCGGTCGAACGTCATTGGTTTGGTACAGTACTAAGACTGTAGAAGTTGCATTTCGATTGACGAGTAAATAATGTGATAATTAGCCCGGCCTAAAGATATAACAAAAACAACGAATCAATTTATTTATATTCTAGAGCCTTTAAAATGACCCAAATAGATTTTTAAGTCCCCAGACTATTCTTGGTTAGGTTTGAGATTATATGTCTAGGTTACAATTTCATAACGAACTGACAACAGCCGTATTGTAAAGCTTCTCTATAGCCATATGGATGAATTAATTTTGTCAAAAATATGAGATGCTATCTGATTACTTCGTCCATAAAATATAGTCCCATGTGGTTAAGGTTTCCTTCATGACCAATGGTATAAGATGGTGGGAAAATTTTGCAGTACAGATGGATGATTTAGGTGTTATTGTTCTCTGAGCAGGATGTTTTGATCGTGAAGCTTTCATTGTTTTTCTGAACAACACCGTTAGCACAAACTCCAGGTTGAAGTGAAGTGTTCGAAGTTCTCGAGGTCAACCTCGATTTTATGTGAGTCATTTGTAGAGAAATTTGAACATATCACATAGCTAAAGTCTGTGCTGATGATGTTGTTTAAAAGAACAATGAAAGCTCCATGATTAAACCATCCATCTCAGAGAACAAAACTACAACTAAATTAATGATTTAAGTTTACAATTCAGTGATAACGTCGATTTGCCTGTTATATATAATCTAAAGAGATAGATTTATGCATTTGATAAATTTAGAACTATTACTTTCAATCTATAGTTGCAAGAAATAATTTTTAGCAATCATTTTAAATATTTTGAACAACGTACAAAAGCATTTCTCTTGATCACTAAACATGATATTTAATTTCGTCCAGAAAACTAGATATCGGATTCTCGATTATGATTGAGTCGTTCCTAAAGCATACTCTTTACTACACTAATCTTTTGAACTTGATAATTTGAAAAAAAGATAGGATACAAGTTCGTGAAACTGCAGTACATTTGTTTTTCAATGTTTAGTATGTGAGATACCTAGCTTTTTGTTCATTTAGTGAGTGAATGTGGCATACAGAGGATTTCACTCCAAGCTCTAATTTTCACTTTTAATCCGCTTTTTCATTCAGCACGTCGTGATGAGCTACAGTGGTATGTTCATAGAAGGCATGTAAAGATAGCCTTATATGATTAAAATGAAATTCCCAGTGTTTACTCGGAAAATATATAGAAAAATGGTTAAGAATGCTAGATATTGCATTGTTATTATTGAAAGCTGAAAAAAATGTTGTCAACCTCATATCTACAAAATAGTCTTTCATTATGACTGATGTCAGTTATTGATGAAAGGTCCATTATTCAGTTGTAATTTTACTACATTTTTATCACTTGTTTTAGAACTAAACAAACCTTTCTTATTGGTTGGAAAGTAGTTCAAGGTCAACCACATACTTTACCAAAAGATAAGCGGATCTGCTCTATTCAAATAGAATTCCAAATATATTACTCCGATAAAAGTGTTGAAACCTTATTCTAATTTCTGAACAGAACAATCATTTCAGTCTTTCCCGTTATCCTGTACACTTTATTTGTTCGAGCAGTTAAATGTACAATTAAAACACGATTGGGTTATTTTACATTTACTCTTATAGGTAATCATGAGCTCGTCGTACCTGTGTACATACACATACGAATGTTGATATACATTTGTCTGACGATCTGGTCGCGTTAGATACAGTATCTTTTATACACGTGTATGATGATCAATTTCATTTAATTTTCACATACGCTCGATCCAGTCGTCCTTATTCTGCATGCTCGCTTTATTTGAGAACAAGTTTACTTGAAATAAACCTTATCTAATACTACTACTTTATGCCGTGTGACTTATTTATTATTAATCCTGAAGGTAAATGTAATTGCCAACATGTTTGAGTCAACTAATCACACGAAGTAAACCTAGATAAGTAAGTGATAAGAATCAAGCAGATCAGTTATAGGAAGTGTAAACAACCCAACATACAAACCACGAGAAACAATGACAGTCAATGAACTGATATAGTAAGCATGGTTTTGCTGATTCCAATCTTTTAAATTTCTTCTAAATTAGTTATGATTGCATAAGGGAAAATTTTTAGCTAACTATATGTGAAAATTTGGATGAAAAAATTGTCAACTCTAAAAATGTGTTCATGCTGAGTAGAATAAAAATAGCGAAAGTGGACAGTTTTGACGAACGTCACATGATGTAATCGATTTAAAAGACACTTCCCTATAAGTAGCACAAACTTGACTAAGTGTATTCGAATAAAGAGCTTTCAATATATTTATGTAATTTCTGTCAAAGCCTTTGAGTGGAAGGTGCCGTCATGAAACATGTCAATCAACAGAGCCAAATCTACATTTCAGATCAATAGAAATGACTATAGTTGAAAGTCAGAAAAATGTGTACTTTAATTTATAACCTAATCCACAGTAACTGCCACAAGTGATTGTATTATTGTCAACGAGGTACGGAATACAGTTCGAAGAAAACATTGGATCATGTTTCATCGCAACTATTTGTGTCTGTGAAAAAAAGAACCAATAAGAAAAATTAGGTTCACCAACCAGATGAAAAGGTTTGTGCTAATCTGAGACATATTGATAGTAGGTTTTATGATAATACCCTATTACTGTAACCTGAGATGAAACGGGGTTCGGACACGCGAACTATTGCTTAAACATCAAACGTTTCGATAGTTACAGTTTCTGAAGAATAATAATATTGAATAGTTTTCAAATCAAAAGTGCCAAAAACGAGAGGTTTGACGTCAGAATACAACAGAAAGTTGAAATTGTTGATAGAGTGGCAAGAAATGTGTGTGAGAAGTGAAGGGAGACAATGGAATTCAGACTGAAACGTAAGTGTAATTTTGGTAACCACTGTAACATTCAATAAATTGTGAACCCTGTAGACATACCAAAATTTAAACAGTGAATCGAAATTGGTTTAGTCAAATAAGTTGATTTAACACCATCACTTTTTAACAATATCTCATAATATGCTATTCTGGGGTCTATTGAACGTGACATTTCCAGATATTCTCTACATATAAAAGCACCAAACAATGTTAAAGTACTCATAACAGTCACGAAAACAGTATCTAAAAAACCGTAGTGCATAACCCAGTGAATTATGTTGTGATGCGCAATGTTCGAGAGTTGGTCCTGAGATATACTTCTAAACACATGAACCTGGTTGCTCGAGAGAAAATACTGAGAGTGAAGAACATTTATTTCGCTAAGGCTAATCGATTGTATGTGAACTTATTTATATATGTGCTTATCCCTTAGGAAACTAAGCCTATCAGTGGATTTTCTCATCCCTTGAAAAAGAAAGCCATTTCTTGGCTAATCGCATTTGAGATTTGGCGATTTCTCATTAACCTACTGTATTGAATTTTATTTGCCTTATAATAACTGTACGAATAGTAAGCAAACTTCAGTAAATTATGGAAACAAAAAACTTACTGATCCAACAAGAGTTTCAGGGGCCAAGGAGTTCAACTGACGTTCCAATAGTTTTATCTTTCGTTCTAGTTTCGAATAAGTAGCAAACTCATCCACCATATGTACACTTTTCAATTGAGTTCGTAAATTTCCTAGATCTTCAACACACTTAGCACGTAGTGCTCGACGTTTACGACCAGATGGTGTGGATATTGCCAAAATAAAATTAACAAGAGCATGTAATCTATCCACGATACCGAATGTAAAGCATAGTCGAAAGAATAAAATAAAAAGGAATATAGTAGTTAGATAGGCGAGCCAGGAAATAGACGATGGTGGTGATGAATATATGTATTCAGGAGCCTCATAACTTGAGTCGTTGTTTAACGACAGATTAGGATTAGTTTCCATAAAATTCTCTATACACCTGTTGAAATGATAAATAAATAAAATTTATATATTAACAAAGTTACCAAATAGTGAAGTGAGTTACTTGTATGTTTTATATCTTAAGCACATTTCAGTGAAACACAAAGGAGTGTACTCAACGAAAAATTATGATAAATCGATGGAGAAATCAGTATTTAAGGCCTTACATAAATTTATTATACATAAAAACTTTTCACTTTATCAGTAACAAATTGGATTTTGTGTAATGCGTTGAATTACAAGTTAACGTAGAAAAGTATGAGTTGTTAAGCGTGTGACTCGGAAGTTAAGTAATGACGTACGCATTGAGCTATATAGTTCTAATAATATACGCAAAAAGTGATAAACATTAAATGGATACGAAGAAAATTAGCATTAATGTAACAGAACCAAAACCACTTTACAAATTCAATAACAACGAATGAATAAAGTTCTGGGTATTCAGAAAATTTTTTTTGGTATTATTCAATTAATTTAACAAGACAGTGAGTCATATGCCTTTGTTGTTCAGCATAATGAGTCTTAATTTTTTTTTATGTACTTATACATAACGAAGAATAAACCTGATGTAGCATTATGAACTGATAACTTATTTAACATAGGTCAACACACAGACTTAGTTGTAGTAAGTTTTGAGACAAATATACATTGGATATAATTCATCTGGATTACAAATATTACAACTTTCTAAAAAACAACCCATCATAAATGAAACCCATTTCTTTTTATTTCACAGTTGAAACAGGGACAGCCAACTTTTGAACATATTTGGGAAAATTTTGAGAATCTACAGTTCCATTTAATTTAATAGTTTCCTCCTATTACTTACTTACGCCTGCTACCCCTCGTGGAGCATAGGTTACCGACCAGGATAGTAACTTACAATAACTAGTAAATAAATATGCGAGTTAACTGACAAGCAAAGGACAGGTAAAAGTGATTAAGAGTTTTATCCTCACTCGCTTGGTGGACACAGGTCATCAAGTTGAGTTGAATAAAGTTGTTAAGGTTATCCACCATATCCCATCGAATTCATCACATGGTTTACGAGTTCGTCTTCTGCACATTGCTGAAGCAATTGGAATCGATGTTTACAACCGTAACCTTTGCATCCAAAATAATGTTGTACAACCACTCTCACTACCTTGGCCATCTGTATAGGAGTGAGTTTTTAGCAACTTTCATTAAACCTTTTCTTTTAAAAATATTTAAATTACTTTCTCATTTCTTCTACTTTTGTATTTTACATATTTTCAACTATTATCATCGATTCTTACATAACTACAATAATGCTGACCTTTCATCAAAATATTTTGTTAGTTCTGTCTATATATTATGCAATGTAGCAACTGGTTGATTTTCCGAATAATTACGCTGATTATTATAATCCTATGTCTTTCAATTACTCAATATTATTTCATAATCTACCTGTCATTATATATAGATTTTACCTGAGTAAGACACCTAAAAGCATTACAAGTGGTTTGATTTCTTCATCTATCATAATTGTTATGACTTATGACCTTGTTAATATATCACGTGATACGATAGCCAATTAGACACCGATTTATACGACGAGACTAATCACGTATAAACTTGTTCGAGTGGCCTAGAGTTCTTTTTAGTCCTCTGAAATAATAGCCTCTAGCCTAAACCCAACCGGTTCAGTCCAGAACACCAACATCAGCCCCCGATATATCAATCAGGTATTTCAGACATACGCAGTTTATATACAAACAAATCAGACGGTATCATAACATAAAATCGAAAATAATCATTACACAAAATCAGGCTAAAAATGGCTATGGGAGATTGTAGCTAATACCTCGGAAATAACTCAAGAATAGTATATCATATAATAGTAGTCAATAGGTCAAACGGAAGCTTATAATAAAAAGAACATGAATATACAGATAATGTAGTTACTTAATGGCTATACAATAATACATATAATGACGGCCCATACATAGATCCTAACAGTTACTAATCATTATTCTTCGTCCAGATATAACAATAATCACATGTTTTTCTACACCAAGCATCATAGCATTCCAAACTATTCAAAAGTACTTATCTGTTTAACCGACTATAACCATATTATAATATAAACTTATTATTAAAATAGTTTATTAAATGGGAAATAGCGAAAGACTTTAAAGTATTTATTCAACAATATCGGTTATAATGGAGCAGATCTATTCATTGATATTCTTCCTCGCGATTTTGAGTTTTGATATTCAATCGAATTATCTACTTCATTCGAGGTTTTTTTCAAATTACTCTTTATGCTTAGTAGTTCCTTATTGTTAATTGACATTACTATTATTTTGGTAACTTTGAGTTCCACCTTCCAAAAATCCCATTCACTTTGTGCATGTATAAATCGTCTAAACTTTGGTTGTGCCACGCCTTATTTTCCACTAACAGGTCACAACATTGATGATTTACTGAAGCTAAGAGAGAACACTAGTTTCTTGGTATAGTAAGTAAATCACCACAGCTCAAAGTAACCCATAGATATAATTACCACTCAACCAATCATAATCCAAAAACCAGTAAAGAGAACAGCAACCTATAAGTATGTAAGATCGATTGAAATTCAGCGAGATATTCAACATAACATAACATAACGAATAGAAAGTAACCGAGTGAACATTTTGTTATAGTGAATCAAATGCTTATATTCATAGTTTAAATCACGAATTGATTATGACTAGACCACTGCTGAAGACCTGGACGGTCGTTTTTTCTTGATATGGTACTCCACATCAGTGAACATTCAAGACTCCACCACAGTATTGAATACATGACCTTCAGTCTCACACACGAATCCTTAACCTCTAGACCACAAAGTCAGAATTCACCGCAGGCAAAACATGACGATTGCACAATATTGTGAGGTTAGATGAACACCATTATTCCCGACTTAGTGGTATAGAGGTTTTGTTCACGAGTGAGACCAAAGGTCTTGTGTCCGGTTCTTGGTTGATGAAGAGTACCATACTAAGACAAAATGACTGCCCAATGCTTCTAGATCTTTAGCGTTGGTCTAGCTTAGACTAGTTCGTGATTTAAACTATGAGAATTTTATAATCTCCACAAATCCCTCTATACTAAAAGTAACTATGTTTTATTTATCGCATATGGGAACTCAACCTGAAATAAGAAGCATTTATGATTATTACAATTAATATTATTATTGTCATCATAATAATACACTGATCTCAAATCACTATCATCAAAAATCCTTAGTTGAACGAACGACAGCGACACACTGACTTCATTTTTCATGTGGTAGAACGAGTTAAGTACATCTATATGACATTTTGAAGGTAAGTTTGTTTTGAAAAGCGTGTTTCATACTTTTACATTTTCCCTACTACGGTGCTTAATGTTTGAGAACCTAAGATATTTATAGCAAATCAGCTGGTGGAGCAAAGACTTATAATGTTTTCCAATGTGGAAGAATTTAAATTCCAGACAGATCTACCTTTTTATCAAAGGTGTATGAGAATGAGAGGGTCTAACTCATGTGAGCATTTGTGATAAATATACGGGGAACGTAGTTACTAGGAGTATAGGTGAATCTTAAATACATATTGTATATATTTAGTTAAACTGTAATGTACAGAGTATTACTTCGATAAATTCATGACATTAAGAACTGATGATTTATCATTAGAACTACGAAAAATAACGATTGTGCTGGTAGTAACAATGAAACTAAACGAATGACAAACTAGCAACCCATCAAATGTGAGATATTAGAGACTAAAAATACCTCTGATTCTAGTGATTGGGTAGTGAGTTGTGTTTGAGCAATAGCTGTTAAGCAGCGACGTACTTCAGCCAACCTTGACTCAAGTCTAGTTGTGATACGCGCAAGTTTCGCTCCTTCAGATCTATAAGCTTCTAAAAGTTTGTGAACAGTAGCACGTTGAATATCTGCACTGGCTTCTTCTTCAGGCAGAGCTCCAATCAATGCATCCAGTTGCTTTGCAGTAGCGGAAATTGCAACAGCAAAACTCCGAGCAATATCTAAAGCCAACAAAAATACTGAATCAATCAAAGCATTTTGTGGAATGTCTGAATAAGTTTATTAACAGGACAATGACAGTTACTATCCAGGACTTAAGCATAGTTGCTGAAGTAACTACAAAGTTCTAAACTGCTAATAAAGATGGCCGTTTTACTACACAAACTTAAGACTTACCGTGGGTTTAAAAACTCATTTATTAGGTTAAACTATTTACTCTTAGTTTCGGCTTCAAGATTGTCTTAATTTGAGATTTGTGTTATAGCTGATTGTGACCTATTGCTTTCCTTAATAAATATAAGTGCATTGTGTGCGCATTCTGGGTTGTAGACTCATCTATTATTTCGTTCTTCTCTTTCCTAGCTCGCTATTTACGCTCCCCTAGTAAACAAAGTACCTTCTGGCTGTATGAGGACCGTTATACCAACTACTGCATTTTATAAGGGCTTGGATCAGAAGGTAATTCCGGTGATCATGGGTATCCATTAGTCTTGGGAATATCTGAAACACTAAAAAAATCTAAGACCATAAACAAACAAATGGACAACCAAGATGTTACAAAGAACAGTATCATGTTTCGGTAAATACATGTTAATAATGTCATACTATTTGTTCTTTACCATATAAATACTAATTTGTGCAGGTACCATTTCCCTATAAAGATGCTGTCTTCTGTGTGGTTTCCAAACGTTCAGAATGTACACGTATCTTCCAGAAATTATTAAAAACTGGCACTTTGTCAAAAGTTGGTATGAGATTTCTATGCCACCGGGAAACTATGTCATAAGGGGGTTGCTAATTAGAACTAATAATATGCAATAACTGAAAGATAAGAGTATTAAATGTGTGAAATTTGAAACTAAACATCAAAAGCTAACGATGAGAATGAAGAAAGTATTTACTTTACTGAATGTGTAGTGAACAAAAACACAAGTGGGGACAATTGAATGTATTTGAACACAAAATTCAGTCAGTCAGTCAGTCAGCTACAACGTAGGACCAGGCACATATGTGCATCGGTCAAGGTTGCCATACCTCATTAGCACAGCAAGATGAACACCGGATTCATAGCAGTGGTTAGGTCAAAGGTTGCAATAAGGATATAGCATAGGAAGAAAGAATTAGTTAATAGAAAGAAAGATATGAAGTGATTTTAATCTCTTAGTTTAAGGGAAGACAGGGAGTGTATACACCGACGCCATTGTGATCGATTCTGAGCCATGTCACCAAGAGTCTCCAACCATTGGTTACGAAAGTCACGCGGACCCCAACCAAGTAGTCTGCATCTACCAACATGGCTCAGGCTAGAAGTTAGTGACTTCAGGCACTGATGCCACGTTTTGGTTTGGCCGCCCCTAACTTTCTTCCAACCATCCCCTACACCGGTTAGCATTGCACGTCGTGGTAATCGGTGTTTGGGCATACGTAACACGTGACCCAACCATCTCAGTCGATGAAGATTCACAACCTCATCAACTGATTTACCATCATTCCCTAATACCCTGCGTCTAACCTCACTATTACTTACCCGGTGATCCCAGCAGATGCCAGCAATATTTCTAAGGCATCTGTGGTCAAATACAAAATTACAGAAAATCTTAGTAAAATATGAGAACCATACAGTAAATAATTAATTTGCAAAATGCCAATCAATTGTTTCAAACTTGATTGTTCCTTTTGTAAATATCAGTCAACTGTCTGAGACTTCATTGTCCTGTCGTTTCCACACCAACCATTCTTTGTTCTCTTTCCTTTGATTATTTTAACCTTCTACCGCCAGGCATTTCACTTTCGATTGATGACATGTACTACTTATATCTGTTGACATCAATAGCACACATCACAAGTGTACTCAAATCAACGGAGTAGGTTTGTACTGTAACTTAAAACAACAGAACCAAGGCAAAGATAATGTTGATTTCACTGCAATGAATACTCACAGTAACTACTGAACTATGAAACAAATTCAAAATAAACTAGCATGTTAAAAATCTATGTGCAGACCAGTGCCGGACGCTTACGTTATCCTATATCTTGGTTTTGTTTTTTGCCTACGTTCACTGTATTTGAAGAATTTGTTTTCTGAATACTAATAAAAACACTGCATAATAGTCACATATATACACTAACCGTCAGTTGGTTGAGCTTGGATAAATGCCTGGTATTCTGGTTTAGCAGACCTAGAAGCCCAATTAAAGTCAGAAAAGAAACTGGGCTGAGCGACTTGTTGTATTACACCGATTGCGTTGCACAAATTTTCAGCTTGTAAATTAATTGCGTCTTGTAACTCAGTAAGTCTATCTGCCATCCAAGTTGGGAGCTGAAAATAAGAAAATGTAGATAAGTACATTTTAAGAAATTGAAGTCCATGTTAGGTGGGAAGAATTTTTATATCTCGATAAGAATAATGAACGGTAACTTTTGGGATCCATTTATGGACCAATAATATGCGCATATTTTTACAGTACAATTGTTAAATAACTAAACTTCATATTCATGTCCCTCTTATTATGAGCTTTATTTTAACCTATGAACTGTTATTATACGACTTACCATTCTCGAATTATGCCGTGTCTACCAATTACCATCGCCCTTACTCACAGCCACATTTGGTTAAATCTTGCATAAATGTTCTTTCCTATTTTATGGTACGATGTAGCCTGTTTGGTTGGTATATTAACCCCGTACGTTTGAAATAAATGATTCATATTGCAAAGGCTGAGATTGGTGTTCTGGACTTAACTGGATGGGCCAGGTGGAAAGCAGGACCAATAAGGACTCTAGACTGCTCGTACGGGTTTTATGTGTCACTGGTCCGATCGATAATTCACTGCTCTCTAATTGACGGTATCATCACGTTATACATTAACAGGGCACTCAGGCCACAAGTTATAACAAGAATGATTAGTAAAAAGCTACAAAAAACGAGTCTAATATCAAGTCAAATTACGTAGCAGTTTTAGGTCACCATATTTATTTCAGACAAGTGGAAAAAAAACTTAACGAAACCACGACCAGTTGACATGCAGTAAACAGCCGACATATGCTACTAAGATGTTTTATTTGTATCCAATCATATCAGTAATGAAGGACAAGGGGAATAGCAACGATTTTGATTAGTAAGATTATAATTAAATTCGAAATGTGCTTTTCTACTATTTGCTTTAACCGAGCATCGATTAAGCATTGAATTATCATGGAAACCTTGAGACCTTGTTAGTCAAGTTGAATCCTCTACACTTGCCACAACGGGATTTCCTCGCAGAAACCGAGATGATCGGAGATCAAAACACCAGTCCAATGGAATTACGTTTAGACCTCAAATTACAATATCCAGTTTCACACTGCCATTCCTAAAAAAATGGTTAGTTTTCTCTCACCTCAAGTTATTTACAAGAGCCATAATATTGTTAAAAAAGAACCACGACAGGAATGCTTTTGTGGTTCGTTAACAGTGAGCAACTACACCGCAGTCACTTAGCTCCGGTTATCTGACCCCAGTAGAACACCTAACTATCTAGTTCCACAGCAGTTTAGCTAACTATTACTATATGAGTGATATTCCCGACAGACTTTAATAGAGCTCGATTTTCAAGCACTAAACCTAAGCTTCCATATCCGGATGCTGTTTCTTTAACGATTCAATTGCTTAATGATTATCAATCGGTCATCATCAACATACAGCCTAACAAGAATTACACTGGCCCAAGCAACCATATCACACAAACAATATGAATAACAAGAGATCGAAATAATAGACCAGCAATGATAATGAGAAAGCCGAAACATCAGAAATACAGTTCGAAAAGACAGAGTGGGAAGATTTTTTACAAAGGAATAATTGCAATAACCGATAGGAAGATCGAGTTGAATCCAGCTGCGCCACTGTAACATATTATGTACACTTCCTATTAGCCTAAGGTTTAAATCCCTTTTGTTGTTCATATTGACAGTCACTAGAAACTAATTTTCGAGTATCTAATCATTCCGAAGTTATCAACTAGATATTCATACATGAGGGGTAAAACATGTGTCCACGCTGTCGAGACTGTTGATAATGAAATACCCAAATCATTAATGCATATTGTGAAAGATATAAATGATAGTAAATTTACTGATGGAGCTATAAGCTTTCATAGACGACTTATGGGGTGGTGCAAGTACAACATCCATCTCAGACGCAGGCTATCTCTATGTCCAATGTTAACTGGCATAAGAGCATGCTAAACGATGACTGAGTGATCAACTCAATGTATGATATTAGTCTATATAATCAGGGGGGTTGAAAAAGACACTAAAACGCACTGCAGACGAATGGTGTATTCATGCCTTAAGAAAAAACAAAACGCTATAGAATTGTGACATAAGAACATGCTTTTAAACACTACGGTCTACAAAACTGTGTATTTATCACACGGCATCTTCAAAATAATCAAATGACCTAATAATTTTGGTTCTGTGCCAACCCAGTCTGTATTTAAGTACAGATAAGTAATAATCCAGAAACATCCTAGCTCTAAAAAATGAACACAAACAATAATGGAGGAATGTAGGACGACTTACCAATTAGCTTCCCTGTGATAGTTCTACAGAGATCAATTCAAGATTCTGAAATACCAAAGAGAAAACTCAATTAGAAAGCCTAGTATATGTAAGTTCCCTGTTCACTTAAATAGGGCTAAGTCACACGGAGAGGTTACGGTTATACATGTGTTTCAAAGGGGAGATATCGATTCCTCGTGTACGGACACTGCAGATCTACCCAACAAAATAGATGGGTTGGGAAATAACGTGTTCATCCGACAGGCTTTTATTTCAGAATGAGGAAAAACGGGTTAGGAAGTGGGGTCAGTGGATCTCGTTACTCAGTAAGGTTTCTCTTCATCACAAAGTGTCTGATTTGAACTGTCTTTAAAAAGCCTGCTGCCGACACCTATTTTGAAAATTTGATACTGGTGATTTAGCAGTTCTCTTAGATAAGGATGTACATATTGGTCTCCCAGATGGATATAATCTTTGTTCGACCACAATGGACTTACAATGTAGAGCATAAATCCATCGAAGCTCGAATTTCTAACCCTATAGGACTACGATTATTTGAAGTAAGGAACTTGTCTGAGAAAGAGCCAGGGATTGTCGCGCTTAAAATTCACCTTCACTTACGAAGAATTTTTATTTGATAACCTAGGACTGCATTAAACCCCCGTGGTCCCATTAGTGTCAAATACTAGGACCTTTGCCCCCAAGTAACCGAGGGTGGGGAAAGTTAGCTCTCCTACTCGAAATGCTCTCACATAGCCACGCGTATACAGCCACTGCCAGAGAAGTCCTACTCATTGACTTCTCACGGCATTACTGTTGTTTACGAAATTGAGAGGACGAAAAGCGAATACACGGTGCTTCAACCTGGTTGGTGAGTATGGGAAATCCACCTGGGAGAGTTGGAAAACCCTGAGCCCAAGCCAATGGTGCACATGGGCTTCAGGATCCTAAGGGAACAAATGGCGTATAAAGCAATAATTGGTCGTCGGCCACCATGAGACTGCATGTCCTGACGTTGCTCCACTGCCTTGTGGACCAGACCTTTGGATCGAAGTCTCCGGGTGTAGCCCCCTAAGAAAACCACGTGCTTCGGTCTGGGCATTCGGACAGTGTCACAGCCCACACACAAATCAAGTGACTTATGTGGTGCGTATGTATTCAGTGCTCCTTCGTACCAATATTTATGTTTTCAAATAATAAATTCGCCCTTTTTGGTTTATATAAACCATCCTTAGTACATATTTAAAATATTACCTTTGCTTACGTAGGGCTTTTAGAAGCATACAGCCAGAAGGAAAGATTAGTGCCTCAGGCAATCTGATCCAAGTTCAAATTCGGATGGTAAACAGCAGACAAACTCCCAACTAGTCAGAATAAAATAGTCTATCCGCAGCACGATGCTAACCTCAAATACAACCGAATTAACTTTGATTATTCTCCGCTGAAAAAACGCTAGTCAAAAAAGATCTAGAAGTTTTAGTTCCCTACCAACTTAAATCATATGCTGTGGGAAATATCTACTTACATTCAACTTGGCACTAGTGACACATTTTGGATAGTTTAGTGGTAGAGGTTTTCAACTGATTTTAACGTTTCAATCGGTCTTACATATAGTATAAACTCTAAGTGAGTTCACAAGGAGGTAGCCCTTCTCCACGTCAAAAGAATAACAATTTGACGAGCATTGAGACACACAAAATTAGTCTGCGGTCTTCTGTCCAAACACTGAATATCTACCACTTGGAAATAAGCAACACAGAAGCGACTTTATAATGATCCCAAACATAAAAAACACTCCTCAAGATAATCTAGAACAGTCATTTGTTTAATTATACTGCAAACCCCAGAGGGAATACTCAGAAATCAGATATACAACATGGTAAGTTGAACTTAATCCACACCCACTCTTTATGGTGACTTGAGTTTTGGAATTCCCCACGACCGAAGGAAACCAAATAACATATCGTTAGTCTTCTGACAGCAAGTTTGATGTGTCTTTAAATACTCAGAACAGTATATTATATTAATTTACTAAGAACTATATTTCTGCTGTTTTCATACGTAGTATGCAAGTCAATCAGATGACTGGAATTGCCGTTGAAAGAAGTTCCCAATGAGAAGCAAACTTCAAATCTGATGAAGGTTTAACCGTAATCACTCAATGAGTAGTATTGACTCAACTAATTAATCAATAACTTATTAATCAAAAGCCAGTCTTATTGTCAACAATATTGGTAACTACCAATATTACAAATATACCTAGGTGTTAGTGATTTACTGCTACTAGACATAATATATTGCTAGTGGAAGGATTCCCTATTCCGCCCAGAGCCGTTAGAATCACATGAATTCCGCAAGTAGGATGACTAATCATATATGATTAATTAGTATACTGTATACAGTATATACTGTTCATTAATGACCATTATTGATAAGCAAACATACGTTTAATACATCTACAGCTGCTGTTCGTAACCACCGTGTTGTGTAACAGAGTTCACCGGTCATAAACAATAGAGACGACAGATAGCTGCCCATACGAACAACCTACCAAACAAAACAAGAAACTTCAAGTAGCGTGCACCTAATGTGTACACCTTCGATGTCCAATATGTCAAAAATCACTGTGCATGTTGCCAAAATGAAAAGGATTCCTATTGTCATCTTAATCAACAATAAGCGTGAAACTCAGTGTGTTTGTAAGCTCAGTGAGGAAGTATTTTGTATACACAAATAATTTTAATGAAGTTAATGATTAGGTACTTCATGGCCAGTGAAATTTCACTGAGCCCTAGCCAAATCATCCGGCAGTTGGGTTAAAGAGTTTTCAAACCCCAAATACCTGTGGCATCTTCAGTACCCAGATGTTCAAACGATCATGTGGTAGTGAGTGGTCTGGAAGAAGCCTTTACCTAGTAAGCTTCCGTGTCTGGTAGAAGTAGATCTCCGAGTCCTCCAGATAGGAACCTAGGTATGTGAAGTGCATAGCAGAAAATTATTAGTGGCTTCGGGTGGCATATTGCCCAGAGTCCTTAATAATCCACCAATCTTCATCTTGAACGATACCCGTAAAGTTGATTTGACCACATTAACAAATAGAAATTTCCAAGACCGAACTATTCGTATGGAGAATAATATATCCCGATTCACTGATAGTTCCTCCAAGTTCCGAGGGTTTGGAGCAAGAGTTTATGTAGGGACTGTACCTAAGTGGGTATTTTAGACGTCAAAGATTGCTTAGAAAGTCGCTACCGAATCGCTTATACTCACGTAAATAAAGACATTGTAGTGACTCACATTTATCACGAGAACACGACTGGTTTAATAAAAACAATTATTATTATAACCAACTGTACCAGTGTTTGTTTTAATGTGCTTTTGTTTGACTGTGCTAATGACAGCTATTTTGTGCTTCCATTCTTTTACTCACACTTTGATTGTAACTTCGCACGAATTCGGTTACGTTCTGTAACCAAGCTTGTATTCTGGCACGATCTCGGTATCCTTTCGATGCCTCGAGATCGCCAGCAAATAAACATTGACTTGGTTCATTAATTGCCTTCTGATATTTGGCTTCTCGGGGATTTTATGGATCTATTTGGTTACGTCCAACCCTCGCCTTCTGATTCATTTGGCACGTGTTTCTTTGTAGCGGTGTTCATAGTTAACCACAACTCGACGCCACGCTACAATTGGTAATCCCAATCAGACTACAATTGGTGACCCGTATTTTGGAACACGCCTCAACTTCTGATCAAATCTTCCAAAGAAGCCAATTCAGTGAGTCTATGATTTATCTATCCACGCCTGTCGTATATTTTCATATTTTTAATATATAATATACGCGACATGACGGATAACGATAAGAATAGTATTAATATAATAGACTCACACGTATGTGTACCGAATCCTTGTCACTTTTTATTCGCGTGATGATGAATTCCACGCTTTATTCGAGAAATGTTACCCTATTAACGATTCTCCTCGCTGACCCGGCTGCTTGGTATGGAATGCATATGCATAAGGATATCCGTCTACCACCCAGCACCAAATGGTTAGGTTGAACGGTTTCACTGCCAACTTAAAAGTGTTCTACGAGCACACGAAAACGGCAACTGGCACGAAACCTTACCGCTCGTTCTTTTAGGGGCGAGAACGAGCTTAAAGGCAGATATCCAATGTTCCGCCACTGAACTTGTATACGGCACGACATTGCGTCTGCCCGGAGAATTCTTCACACCACGGAGCAGACCTAATTTCGGTAAATCAGACTACATCCATCGACTGTCTGCATTTAGGCGAACGCTGTCTCCGGTGTCAACTCGAATACAACATCGACAGGTCGCTCTCCCTCGAGAGTTATCTACCTGTTCACATGTTTTTGTACGAGTAGATTCGGAACGCAAACCTTGGCAACAACCTTACGAAGGCCCTTTTCACGTGATCGCTCGTCACGAAAAGACCTTCAAGGTTGATCGATATGGACGCGTCGAGATCGTCAGCATTGATCGTCTCAAACCAGCACACGTCGATGACAGTGCCCTATCTGACAACCTGAGATTCAATGCTAGACCTATTAAACCTAGAGGGGTCCTCAAATCATCTTCAGGTCCCACGCTAGATACATCTGAGACCTCACTCTCACGTCCCAGTCAACAGCACGCGTCATCTGCACCGTCTACGGACGAGACGACAGTCTCACGTCCAGATCAGCAGACCACGCCGTCCTTGACTTCGGATGAGATTGCAGGCTCACGCGACGAGAACGAGACTGCCGTCTCACATTCCGGTCGCCGAGTATGGTTACCCGTACGCTTCCGCGACCAGTCGCACAGTCAACAACCGATACGGTGTAGGACTATTCCTATGCTACACGCATGCTACACTCTTCTTTTTTTGATTTTCTTTTTGTTTCCTGAGCCCACGCCTTCGACCATCTCCATTTGGTTCCGTCGACTTCAGTCAACTTTGGCGAAAGCTGACCTGATCACCCACGCTCTTGTCAACGTACTCAGTCGATATATTGGTTTCGAATGCTTGGCATACGCTTGGTCTCGAACTTGGTCGTTACGGTCGCTTCTGCTCTTTTGGCTCAACGTGGTTTCGTCCTACGTTTGCAGCGTTTCTGGTGCGCACCTCTACGAACGCAATCTTCAGATTCTGGATACAAACCACTCTGGTGCAGCATGCCAACTCAAGCAATAAATACAACACATCGCTCCTGGTACTGTTCTCTGAAAACGACCTTCGTTGGCAACTCGACGATCAACGATCGCTTTCCTGTTTCGCTAATCCTTCCGTCCTACAATCGCTCGTCAGCCGATCAGTCCCACGATTCAAACCGCTATTTATCGAAAGTGTAAACCCTTTCTAGCGGGGGGATCCTGTAGTGACTCACGTTTATCACGAGAACACGACTGGTTTAATAAAAACAATTATTATTATAACCAACTGTACCAGTGCTTGTTTTAATGTGCTTTTGTTTGATTGTGCTAATGTCAGCTATATTGTACTTCCATTGTTATTCTTACACTTTGATTGTAACTTCGCACGAATTCGGTTACGTTCTGTAACCAAAGTTGTACCCTGGCACGATCTTGGTATCCTTTCGATGCCACGAGATCGCCAGCTAGTAAACCTCGACTCGGTCCATTAACTGCCTTCTGATATTTGGCTTCTCGGGGATTTTATGGATTTATTTGGTTACGTTCAACCTTCACCTTCTGATTTACTAGGCACGTGTTTCTTTGTAGCGGTGTTCATAGTTAATCTCAACTCGACGCCACGCTACAAGTGTTCATAAGGAATTTAATCCAGCGTTCTAAGAGTTAGGGATTTAACAGGGGAAAGTAAATAAATGATGTCACAGAATCTCTATATAAGGAATATTTATGCACATCTAAGAAATACAACAAAGATTTGATACCAATTATCACCAGAGATTTTATGCATTCGAAAGCTAACATATTGTCTACAACAGTGAATTCTTATTTTAATCACACTTTCTCAACTACCTGGCTAGTAAGCACTTATGAAATTTCAAATGTAAACAGAGACAACAAATTTCCTCCGTCGTAGAGTAGGCATCTTATTACGACCAACTCCTTTGAACAACACATTCAAACACTGAGTCCGAAACAGAGGTCTGTTGTGGCATATCAGTGGGTAATTGTTCTGATGCTTGTTCGAGTGATTTATTAGTTTACACCGACTCACTGCTGATGGCAGTACTACCCAAATAATTTGGAACTTTATGTTTCCTTGATTGAATATCGGAATAATATTTTCAAAAACGTCAGTACTAAGTTATCTAGATATAAATTACATGCAGAAGAAGAATATTATATGAGAACCAAGTTTGGAAGATCTATTTGATTATTGTCTCCAATTTGTAATGTTCACTATTCGAAATTTAGATTGAGGATGCCACGGGTATTCGGAGTTTTACAACGCTTTAACCAGTAACACCCATTATGAATCGTACCCACCAAGTGAAATAAAAAGACAGAAGCGAGGAGGTTTGAAGACATATTTGATAGGCTATCAATATATCGAGGATCGTCTGATCTAATCTGGGTAGCGACTGCAGGGGTCGTTAAGCACGACGTTCCCCCTCGTGATCTGGTACGGATGCATGACCGAGCGCCTTCAGCTAAGCGAGTCAGTTGAAACTGATGTGGTTAGCATCCAATGTCGAAAACTTACAGGGTTATTTATTTTGGGAGATTTATTTACCGCCACAAGATTATTTGTCCCTGTTTTGAACTAAATTTATTGACTCAGCTTGTGACTTTTGGGTCAAATAATAATTAATATACTACTGTCACAAGGAGTTGTGAGTTTAGGCTCATATCTCTCATATAGCAGATTATAAATTCATCATAGTCGCTTCCGTAAAAGAATTTATGCCTCCTACAGAATCACCTTGACTGAAAACAACATCATATTTACATGCTCAGTCCCATTATAATTTCGAGTATACTAAAAATACCACTTAAACTTACGTTGGTTTTATTTTGGTCATCTATTCAAGTGCATCGAAGAGGTCACTTACATTTATTTACAAAACGTCATAAACACAGATTTCTAATCAGTGTGATATCACGAAATATGCTTAATGCTCGACTAATGCTAAATCACGAAGTCCAAGCTTTTTATTGATACCTATGTACCTCCCATAATAATGCTGTGATTCTACGATTACACGTCTTTTGTGTGCTAGTGTATATGTTTGTACACTTATTATTTCACCAAATGCCATCAGGCGTTTACCACTTTGAGTTGTGTTAGCATTTGTAATGAGTAACATTTAGAGTTGTCACGTTTAATTTCCTTCACATTTTTTTCATCTTGATATTTGTCTTAGTAAATCAATACCTGGAAAAAGTCAATTAAGTTTAATCCCTATTCGGCTTTTTATAACTGCCATTTCCGGAATGAGGTTAGCCTATTTATAATATACATGATCGAAAAGAGAATTCATCTCCATAGTTTATAATAATCTTTCA